GGGGGAGGAGGCGGTGAAGGGAGCAGGAGGTCGAGGGAGGGGGAGGGGCAGGGGGAGATGCGGGCCAGGGGATGGAGGAGGGGGCAATGGAAAAGGGCCAGGAGCAGGGGGAGGAGGCAGGGGAGGCGAGGGAAAGGCGCAGGGGGCTTGGCCATCATGGAAAGCGGCGTCTGGGTACTGGAAGCAGGTTAAAGGACGAGGTAGAGGGTGTCACATTAGTGAGACGATCGGAGCGGGGAGTCAGGGCATCCGAAGAAGGCAGGTTAGGGCACGGGATAAGGGGTCAGGGCATGGAAGAGGGTACCAGGGAGTGGGTTAGGAAATGGGGAGATCAGGGGAGTCGAGGGGTCAGGGTAGAAAAAGTGTATCAGGGCCAGAGAAAGGGGTCAGACGAGGTGGGAGGACGCGTAGAAATGGAGGAGGGGGCAGAAGAGAGGGAGGGCTGGGGGAGGGCAGTGCCAGCCAGGTAAGGGGGCGAGGGATGGAGAGAGCCAGGGGGGCCAGCTGGGGAGAGGATACCAAGGCCAGAGATGGGTCTTTTGGGGGTGGGGACAGCTGTGGGGGTGAGGAGTTCAGACTCCTCGAAGAGAGGGGAGTCAAGGGGCTGAGAGACCTCTGAGTGAAGGGGGGGTCCCAGTGGCCCAGGGTTACCCCCCCCCGACACCTCCACCCCCTCCACTTCCTCCCTGGCAGAGAAACGATTTCCTGGCCAGCGCTATTTCTGCCCATCCGTTTCCAGAAGGCGGGGGTTCCAGTCACCCTCTTCTCACCTCCCTGCAGTGCCCTCCCAGTCCCCAGGGATCAGGGGCTGAAATAGCTTCTGGCCAGGATGCAGAGGGCAGCAGAGGACTTAGAACGGGCTCTCCTGCGGTCCCCAGCACTGGGGCGGCATGGGCTGCCCGTGGGGAAGGGCCAGGAGCTGGCATGGGGGGAGGGGGGGAAGATAGAGACAGGGATGGGAATGGGGGTGAATGAAGGCAAGGATGGGGATAGGGTTGGGCAGTTGGGTGGACATGAGGATGGGCTGAAGGGAGGATCTGGGGCGAGGGCGAGGTTGGGGTCACGGTCTGTAGAGGGGAATGGGAAAGGAACTGAGAATGACCTCTGGGGTTTGCGGTAGGGATGGGGCTGGAGATGGGGGTGCAGAAGAGTCGAGGCGGGAAGTGAGGGCGGGAAAAAGGTAGAGATGGGTATGAGTTTGAAGATGAAGTTTGCATGGGAGTTGGCACTGTGAATGTGGCCGGAATTAAAGATGGAGGATGGGAACGGGGTTGGGGGGGGTTGGGACTGGGACTCAGGAAGGGGATGGAGATTAAGAATGAAGGAGGAGGTTCTGTCTGGGATTGAGGCTAAAATTGGGGGCTGGGGAGGGACTGGGACTAAATGAGGAAGTTGGGGAGGGGAATAGGCCACGGATTGGGGTGGACCAGTTGGCGGTTGTCAAGGTGTTGGGCAGAGCGATGAGGTTAAAGACAGTGTTTGGAGAAAGGAATAGGTTGGGGACAAGCATGTGATGTGTCTCCAGGTGGAGTCCACTGCCAGGGTTCAGGTAAATATGGGGCGGAAACCAAAAAGGCATCGAGGAAAACATTAGGGCTCAGGGTAGGACTGGAGTTGAGGATACAGATGGTGGTGTTATGAGCTGAATTGTCCCCTCACCCCAAGAAAAAACACATGTGAAGTCCTAATTCCCAGGGCCTCAGAATACGGGACCTCATTTGGACATAGCGTCTTGACAGAGGCGATCAAGTTAAATCGAAGTCATAAGGGGGACCCTCATCCAGGATGACTGGGTGTCCTCATAACAAGGGAAAATTTGGACACGGAGACAAATGTCGATGGAAGGAAGTCGATGCAAGAAGCCACAGAGAGAGGGCCGTGTGATGATGGAGGACTGGAGTGATACGCCACAGCCGAGGGACACCAAAGGTGGCCCGCAAAGCACCGGAAGCCAGAAGGGGCCGGGGAGGACGCCCTTACAGCTCTCCAAGTGCACACGGCCCTGCCGACTTCTCGATTCAGACTCCTCCCCCCCAGACCCTGAGAGAGAGAAGCCACAGAGAGAGGGCCGTGTGATGACGGAGGACTGGAGTGACACAGCCACAGCTGAGGGACACCAAAGGTGGCCCACGAAGCACGGGAAGCCAGAAGGGGCCGGGGAGGACGCCTTTATAGCTCTCCAAGTGCACACGGCCCTGCCGACTCCTCGATTCAGACTCCTCCCCCCCAGACCCTGAGAGAGTACATTTCTGTCATTTTAAGCCACCTGGTCTGATACGTTATTGCCACAGCCCCGGGGAACTAACAGACGGTGGTAGATCTTGGGGTGAGGGAGTCAGGAGATGAAGGTGGATGCCGGGCCCGGGGCTGAGTCTGAAGATGAAGCTTGGACGTGGCTCGAGGTGGGGATGAAGTCGAAGGTTGAGGCTGGGCCCAGAGTTTAGGGTCGGGATGGAGTTAGGGGTGTGGTTCAGCGTGGAGCAGGAGAGAAGTGACTGAGCATGAAGGAGGAGGTCGAGGTGTGGGTTGGGGTCTGGGGCCAGGGTCAAGGCTGGGGGCGAGACCAGGTGGAGAGGTATAAGGTCAAGGCCGCCTGTGGATACTTTGAGGTTGAATGTGAGGGT